TCGTCAACAGAAACTGTTGCTTGTAACAGTCAGAACCTTGATTTCAAAGGACAATACAAAGAGATGATGATTATTTTGTGTGTACGTAGTAAAAAAGTTGTCCAAGAAGAGTAAATTAACTGTAAGAAACCATCCTCCAGCATGTGTGAGTATTCACTGTCACATTATTCTTTCTTGGAAGCAAGTTCAAAGAACTGTTTAGGCCTTGAGGATAGATCCATGAGATGATGATCAAATCTCTCTTGATGGGAGAAAAGCTGACGCAAGCAACGATCGCAACCGGAAACAACGTAATGAATGTACTCTAGTACTTATTTACAGTACGGCACTCTTATACGTATGTACTAACTGTAATAAGTCGTGCCGTATTTGGGTACTGTTAGCACGTACGACCGATACCACCAGTACGGTAGTACGTAGTACTCCAGTATTTCTAATTTTCACAAATGTCCCGGTGGTAGTAGTATGTACCATGAACGGTACAAGCATACGAACACCGCATTATGGAACAGAAATTATTTGTATGTATAATAAGAGTAGGAGTTATTATACTTCGGACTTTTATTGCAGTGCTTGCTAGACTTACAGTTAGCACGGTAGCAACGTTCCGGTACTACAGGTACGGTACCGGTATTTTATATTCTACTTCGGAAAGTGAACGGAGCGAACCCTCCAATGTTCGTGACATCGTGTATCTTTTGTCGAAATGATAACAAATTCCATCCTGGTCAAGAGAGCTTTTCAGGGTTCTTCTAAAAAAAAATCTTTTGTTTGAGAGCAATCAGCAGTGTGTATGTATGATACAGCTGAAATACGCGCATAACAACAACAACAACAACAACAACAACAACAACAACAACAACAACAAACAGATCTTAGCCATGTTGTCGCCCTTTCGAATGCTTAGCAAGGTAGCCATCCTTCTAGCAATCTTTTCTGGAAGATTTGCAGCATTGGCTGATGACACGAATGGTGGGTGTGAAGATGACAGTTCCGCCCTCGATTCTTGTATGGGATCGGAAGGTGCTACGCAGGAGCAAGTGAGCGCTTGCAACACTTGCATCCAAAGTGTGTACACCAACTATGGATTTGAAACGGGAGATGCCTGTGCCGAAACCAATCCTCAGGCCTGTTCGGCATTGGAAGCATGCTACGGAGACTGTTTCGAGGCATGTTTTGACCAAATGTTCACCTACGGCGAATGCGGAGTCAACGCCGCACGTACAGCAAATGGCGGCGAAGACTGTGAGGCCATGTCGTGTGACCTTGCAGAGGTGACCGGTGATCCGAATGCTACCGACCCCCCAGCAGCAGGCTCCGATGGTGTGATGTTCGTATCGTCTCCAGGAGTTTGGACGTTGACTGTATTAGCCGCGAGTTTCTTGGCGAATATTACTATTTAAAAGAGATACCATCTTGTTGTTGTTATCATCAATGTGTGCTGTGGTGTGTGTGTGTGTATGTGCAAATTGTAAAAAAGGCCGTAAAACAAATACATTACTAGACCTGCCGCCTGCTCCTCGTGACACTCTTACTCTATTGATAGTAGTGATATCTAGTAGCGAGTTCACCGTTTTTTTCGTTGTCTTTTCGGCCTCAATCCTGGCATGGATCTTCACTCCTTCGAATATGTTGTGGTAAACAATCTCTCTTCGTCCTCCTTTATTCCTCTTTTGTTGGTGAACCGGTGCAAAAAGCACCAACGACTAGCTAGTAGCAGTTACATACTGTTGCTACAGTTATGATATTGACTGTGACTAAATAAAGTTTTCAAATTGGTCTGTGGTGATGAGTTTTCTTTTTTTTGTGGCCCTTTCGAGGTGGGGCGAAGCCTTGATTGATCATAGGTACCACGGGAGGGAGTTACAGTTTCAGTTAGAACGAGATTACGAGTCTGTGCACGTTTGGAAAATGCTCTAGCTTGTGGCATACCGTGTATCATACCACTCTGTTTTCACAGCTGGTCTTCCACCAAAACGATGTTGGTATCATACGACGTACCGGTACTCCAGTAGCTACCAGGGTATAAACAATTTCGTCTGTCAGTCGTTCCTTTATGACCATCACCGCCAGTGAAAGTCGTATCCCCCAAACATCACCACAAACATCACCACAACTGTCTCGACGACATTCTTATTATTTTAGGTATTATTTTATTTTGGTTTTCTGTCATATCGCACCTACCATCATCATCACTCTACTACAAGACGGTACTCCTCCTCATTCAATTGGATTGAATTGGAATCGTCGTTTACAATTCAGAGAGTGGAGTATGAAGAGGAGACGACAAGAACAACAATCACCAGTTGTAGTAACCAATGTTGTCCAAGAAAACGGCGATGGTTCCGAACTGAAATTCAAATTCAAATCCAACCAACGGCTGTTCGTCTCTGTCATAATCTTATCACTTGTCTTGTCAACGGTGCACAATCCTTTCATCATGGGAAATAAAGTGCATATAGGTTGGAGTCACCTCTTTTCTCATTCCAATCCACTTCTTCTTGTGGAAGCATGGACGTCTCCTTCTCTTAGAATGTCATCCCACCGAAAATGTTTTCACATGGCATCCCGATGGTCGTCTACCTTTTCACCATCTCGCCAATCTTCCCTGTTGAGTTTGTCTTCCCAACAATCACTACCATCAGCAACAAAGAATTATCCTTCCTGTCTTTTTAGCAGCAACAGTACTGCCAATTCGGATCATTTCCAAGAAGAACTCACATCCAACAGTACCAGTACCATCCTTTCCATCGATAAAGATGTTCGTACCATGGACCCGGAACAGTTGCTTGCTACATGGCGAGAGTTACCCGTAATCAATCCTACGGTGACGTTTGACACGTTACTCGTTCCATCGTCGTCATTGCAAACCTACGTTCAACATCCGTCGTTACAGTCAATTTTGGCCAAACCCACCAACTGCGAGTTGCTCCAACATGTCCATCCCCGGATCAAACTTGTACAAGACTACAAGGATGATGGTGCTGCAACCGGCAAGAAACAACTGCTTTTGTTGTCTTCCTCATCCTTTTCCAATAACATTGATCACTCAGACTCATCACTCCAACAACTCCTCGATCAAGATCCTGCCATCGAACGGGGTCCACCGCTTTCCATCTCGTTATCCTATCAACAACTATCATTTCAATACATCTTACAACAACTGTTGCCACTACATTTGTTACCACCACCATCGGCATACGAACAGATTGGACATATTGCCCATTTTAATTTGAAGGAACCGTATCAACCGTATCAACAATGGATCGGACAAGTATTGGTCGCCACCACGCCGGGGATCGATACCGTCGTCCAAAAGGTGGGAACCGTCTCTGGCAAGTACCGGACGTACCAGTATGAGATTCTTGCCGACACGAGACGACCAATTTCACAAGGCAACAACCAATCAACCAACAACACTATATCATCATCATCATCATCATCATTAGAAACGACTCACATGGAGGATGGCGTTCAAATTCAATTGAATGTAGCCAAATGTTATTGGTGTACCCGATTGTCGGGAGAACGACAACAAGTCCTTCAGGATATATTGCGTTCCAAACAACCGAACCAATCACTGGTAGTGGCCGATGTCTTTTGTGGAGTCGGTGCTGTATGCTTGTTGTTGGCCAAGAAACGGCAACAGCAGCAGCAGCAACAACAACAAACAAAAATCAAATCACAAAAGAAACGGAACAAGAGAGATAGCGGCAACGACATTCCTACAAAAACATCACCCAGCGCTACCACTCGTATCATTGCCAACGATTGGAATCCCACAGCCATTGAATATTTCCGCCGATCCATTCATGGCAACAATTTGAACGATTCTCAATTTGACTTGTCCTGTATGGAAGCATACGATTTTTTGATCGATCTGGGTTCCAATGAAGACAATTTTGAAAACATCGCCAAGGATGACGTGGGTGAACCAAAAAACCAGATCAATACTTCACTCTCGCCGAAGCCACTACCCGATCATGTGTTGATGAACTTTCCACTGGGGGCGCCCACCTTTTTGGGAGCGCTGCGGTGGTGGCCGTGGAAACGAATCGAAGCAAAGAAACGAACCGATGGCATGTACCCTCGCTTTCATGTTTACACCTTTGCAAGGGCCACCACGGTGGGGGGCGATGATGAAGAAGAAGTAGCGGTAGACATCATTGCCAACGAGCTGCTACCCGTAATTGGTGGTGGCAGTGCAACTGTCGATAATGATAGCGAAAGCAACGATGACGGGGATGATTTGCCAGCTAAATCATCTACACAACAGCACCGCCGCCACGAATTGAATCAAGAATTCGATGCCAAAGTGTCGACTCGATTGGTTCGGGATGTAGCTCCCGGAAAGGTGGTGGTGTGCGTCAGCTTTTCATGTACGCCCAAACTCATTCGGTACATGCAGGGGGAATATTTCTAAAAAAATTGACATATATACGATGTGGGAAATCATGTAACAGGAAATTGAAAATCATACTGCCTGTATCAATGATATTAGTGTGTCTCTCGTCCGCATTTCAAGAATTTACTTTGCCTAGAGATGCGCATAACATTTTTGACTGTGAGCAGCCCTTGCACCTTCTTCTGAGTAGTGTATTTGATCGGAACTAATATTGCTCCCCATTACCTTGACAATTAGTTTGAAAACTTTCCAAGGATGGAGAGGAAAGAAGGAATGGGATCGCATCTTCATTTCAAATCACGCAAAAAAGCAACAAGATACCAATAACACCTTCTAAACGTACTCTCGTACGGGAAAGCCAGTGTATTAAAAGTAAGTTCGAAAACTTTCCAAGGATAGAGAGGAAAGAAGGAATGGGATCGCATCTTCATTTCAAATCAACACAAAGGCAACAAGATACCTACGTCTTTGGTGTACGCAAACAATAACACCTTGTAACTGAAAACGCAATGTCGAAGGAAGTGTAAAAAATACTGCGAGGAATATTATACACGTTGTAGTACAAAGTTGATTCAACGCGCAGCAAAAACTAACCCGACACCTGCCGGACTCGAACCGACGCGGGGGAACCCCAATAGATTTCGAATCTATCGCCTTAACCAACTCGGCCAAAGTGTCACCATCTGTAGAAAGGAGAAATTATACAATATAAAATAAATTGATGTATTTCTGTCGTAGATTGTGTCACTACCTTCTATCCATTTCTCACTACAGTTAGACATGGACCTTGAAGGTAGCTAGTAGTTGGCATCATCGTGAATAGAATGTATTTCTTTTCTCTTTACCATTGGCCACACACCGGATAGAAGTTCTACGACTTACTACATCGTACCTAGTCGCAGTGGATTTATGCAAAGTATCATCATCGATCGAGTATGATGAATTTTTCCTGGCCCATCATGCCATCAACTTTCAAATAATCATTGCGAGTTCCAAAATCGCTTGGCCCTCTTGCCCCACCACAGATTCCGCACAAAAAAAGTAAAATAAAAAACATCATAGAATACAATGGCATTGGCATAGCGACTATTTCAGTAGATTATGTATTGACCACCAGCCAAATTTGTTCTGCTTGGGTCTTTGGACGGATAACTGACAGGAAGAAGTTCAAACCACACTTTATTAAAAGAATCAACTATCCCAAATATCCGTGTGGGTTACTTTGTAGCAAGTTTTGCGGTCAAGAGGTTCCTCGTGGCAAACCAAGCAGTAGCAGTCCCTAAAACGACCGAACTGGATTGCATGGCTAAATCCAAGCTTCCTGCCCAGTCGGCCAAGGCTCCCATCGAGGATGCTCCAATCAAAAAGCCAACATCACCCGAAGTTCTCAACAGCGCAATTGCCTGTGCTCGTTTTTGATCGTCCACTCGATCCGAAATGTACGCCAAAGGACTTGTCGACAATAGTGTTGATCCAACAGCCCACATTCCCAACACGGCCGCCATTTGTTCCATACCATGAGTATTGTCGCAAAATGGGAGAGCCAGCATAGAGGCAGAGATCAAAGTGCAACCACCAATGATACCAGGAACCTTACCAATTCGATCTACCAGCTTTGCAAAAATTGGATTCCCCAATACTTGTACGGCCGACATTCCCTGTTTTCGGTTGGAAAAAGAAGAAGAAAAGTGTCAGTAAGATATCTATTGGATCTTTTTGAAGTGTTCGGTTCGTTTTATATTTCTAATAGCACGTACCATATACACTTGACCAACTTGAGTTGCTGTCATGCTCAATCCGTCGGGGTTGGTCAAAATCAAGGGCAACAACGTCATTTGGCTTCCAGCCAATGCGACCCAGTAAAATGCGTTCATGATACAAACATTCCGTACGGGTGCTTCCGATAGTAACGGTACCCATTGTCCCAATGCCTTTTGGAATGCTTCACCGATGGACACGGTGGACTCTTTGTCGGTGTTTGGGGTCGTTTGCTGCGGTGACTGCGTCTCCTGCTGCCAAGGAAATTTCATGTTGTGTTTGGTCATTGTTTCATCGAGTAACGCGTTGTTGATGGCTGCCAACAATATGTACGACGCACCGACCGATAAAAACAATGGATTTAAGCCAACTTGATCGACCAACATCCCCCCCAACGCTGGTCCTAACGCGGTACCGGCAGCAAAGGCCGACATGATGGGTGCGAACGTACTGGCACGATTCAACGGTGTCGAAATGTCTGTCACGGTCATGGTGGCCGCCGTCGACAACGCCGCGACGCCCAATCCCGTGAGCAATCGACACACGTACAGCTGTTCGAAACCGTTGGCCATCCCAATGGCACCCACACCGGCCGAAATGAGGATCATGGAATATACCAAGTAGGGTTTCCGTCCGTCCCGTTCTACCAAGACGGCAAAGGGGATGTTTCCGACCATTTTTGCCAAGGCGAAGGCCGAAACGACCATGCCATATTCTCCCGCTGTCAATCCCAAATTTTGTACCACAAAAGGCTGGGAATAGAGCAATGGTAACGAACCAATCGATAACGACAAAACGACAAAAAAGGAACGGTGAGCCTATAACCGAGTATAAAGTATTACGACGACATTTTTCTTGAAGTTCTCATTGGATAACGGGTCTCATTGGATAACGTACCATGGCTGGTGTCGTGACACCGACAGTACTTCCTACCATAAGCATACTGATAGTCAATGGTGCGATGCGTTGAAAGTCGACCGCCTTGGCCGAATCTTGGAGTCGTGTCACAAATTGTTGTTGACCCAACCGTGTTATTGTTGTAGTATTGTTGCTGAGTTGCAAAAAGTTCCACAATTGTTGTGATTGCAATTCTATGTATTGTTGTCGCCACTTTTGTCGCCACTGTAGTATTTGTTGTTGTTGTTGTTGTTGTTGTAAGAGGTATGATGTTTTATCGTCGTCTGGTGGTATTATTGGACTTGGTGTGGTTTTTGTTTCCATTTCTTCTATCCTATGATGCATGTAAGAGCATAACTGTTCTTTGGAAAGTTCTTTGTTGTTGATGGTGGTATCATCTGACACTTCCTTTCCTTCCATCGTCATAGTAGTAGCAGTTGGAGCACGTAGAATATCGTTGAACCGTTGTTCCAATTCGTCTCGAGAAAACTGTTCCAAACGCAAATACCGATATACGTCTCGTGTCTCCATGGTTTTTCGCGGATCCAAAGATTGTATCCATTTCGGTATGGAAGAGGACGGTGACTGTGACAACGACGACGACGTCGTCGTGGTTGTTGTAGAAGTCGACGACGATGCGAAGGTTCGTTTCTGTTTCGAAACAACACTGTTGTTGTAATACTTGTGAGGTTGCCGTGTGTTCAATTCCAATTTCAATTTCGATGTATTCTGGGAGCATTCGCCGAAGGCATCCATTGTTCTATCTTGCGATGAAAGAGATATCAATCGATTGGAAGGTGATAAGGAGTGTTGTGCGGCAACAGCAACAGCAGTAGTTGTAGAGTGACAATTAGAATGATAATATTGTTGTTGAGGAACAACAATGGGATGCCGATGATACCGACTTTTTGGACGAAAGATTACGCTGTTGGTGTCGGGATTGTTGTTGTTGTGAAATAATGTTCTCCTCCTTTTGGTCTTGGTTAGGATGGAACTTGTCAGCAGAAACCCTCCCCGTCTGCTGCATGACTGTAATCCGTGATGAAAGAAAGTTTCCATGGTTGAAAATGAAAGTAATTAGGACGATATATTCGTAAAGAATGATGTTGTTGATGATAAAAGTTCCCTTCCGATGAATCGATGTGACAGTGACTACCGGTACTCTACCACTAGAGCCAGCTACCTACTACCGTAGCTACAAAGGATTCATTCGATTGTGTTCGTTCGGGCGATCTTTCGTGAAAATGATTGACTGTGAATCAGAGAGGCGAGGATCGATGCGATGGATAGGAAGGAATCATCAGGCCTCGGAACGAAGAACAAACTTCATAGTGGCGACTAGTAGGTATGTGCGTCGCCGTGTGACTTTCAACCGTCATCACAGTCAACGAACGAACTAACGGTACTTGATGGAGGTACGATCGCACGGTACTACCGTAGGTAGGTAGAAATACTCCAGTAATACTCTCACATGTCAGTGCATTTCTACTAGAGTACGGTAGCTAATACTCTACTACTCTAGCTACGGAGTAGTAGCTACCTAGACCGGTACCAGCTATCATACCGTAGTAGAAGTCAGAAGTTGTACGATACCTCTACTCTACCGGTAGACTTCTTCAACGGTACGACTGAAGTACGACTCAATAAGTAGACTACCTAAGAAAGTGGCGCTTGCAATCGACTCCTCTCCCCCAAAAACTGTTGATGGACGAGCCAAAAAGCAATTTTAGGAAGGGATTTTGTCGGTTCTCCGCCGGTTCTCAGGTTTCGTTGAAGGTGTCAGTCAACGACTCATCTTAATCATTGAAATGAACTTGAAATCGTTGAAAAGGGCGTTGAGTATCTAGAAAGTGTCATTCAAACTGTATCAGTGCAATAACATATAAATTCTTATTTATACCGACCACAAATTCAAACTAGAACGCCGTTTCTTCATTCGCCCGCCGAACTGTCCATGATGAATGCCTTTCCAACTGTTGCATTCGCCATGCCTAATAAAATAACAGCACAAAAAATCTCTCTTTCTTCCACTCCAATTCTCCCATCATCATCATACTACAGACTACAAGTGGTAGAACTCTTTCTCTTCTGCGTCCTGTGGAACATTCTTATTCCACATTGATCGATTGTTACATATATTAACAGTTAATACACTGTTGTGTTTTGAGTTGTACACCACCACCAGCAGGTATCATAGAAAGTGTGTGAAAGCAGAACAGAATCGGCTGTGAGAAGAAGGGAGTTGTGCACTAATAACAGTAAAAGACATGACTGTGAAAGAGGAAACGAAGACAGACAAGAACACGAACAACTCTCCAACGAAACAAGACACGAATCTTCCCCCTTCTGCTGACAGTGGGGTTGCTATTGACAGTGAATCAACAAACGATACATCTTTTTCTGGGAACGCTAACACTTTGAAACAGCAGAACGAAGTCACTATGCCACCAGCAGCAGCAGCAGCAGCTGTGGTAGATACATCTGACTCCAACGTTGCAGGGAGCACCATGTCCACCGCCAAAAATTCCGGCGGACATTCTCTGCAGTTCCCATTCAAGCTTCATGACATGCTCCAAATGGCGGAAGAAACCGGCAAGGATCATATCGTTTCTTGGATGCCGGAAGGACGAGGCTTCAAGGTTCACAACAAGGAGGCATTTTGTGAACATATCATGCCCGTTTACTTCTCGAGCAACAAGTACAAGACCTTTCAACGATCTCTCAACTTGTGGGGCTTTGAATCGGTATCCAAGGGACCCAATCGAGGTGCATGTTATCACGAAAGCTTTGTCAAGGGTCAGCCGGAACTGTAAGTCTCTCTCTCTTTCTCTCTCTTTTGTTCATGCTAATACCAACTGCAAATGCAAAATGCTTGGTGCTTTCTGTTGTTGGTTGTTCGGCCGATTGTCTATTCCCCTTTTTTTACTGACTGTCCCGAATTGTTGTATTCTCTACCAACAGATGTCATTCCATGAATCGTGTCAAGGTCAAGGGAAAGGGCTCCCGATCGGACGGCAACAATA